TTATATGTATATATATATATATATATATATATATATATATATATATATATATATATATATATATATATATATATATATATATATATATATATATATATATATATATATATATTATATATATTATGGTCAAGTCATAAATATTACATTTACCATCATAGGCTATATTCAAAATACTATAGTAATTTATAGTGAATACTGTAGTGTTTTTGAACCATAGTAAAACACTAAAATTAATCTGTTGTGGTGATTCTACAGTAGCCATGGTAACACAACTATAGCAGTTAATTTGTTGTGATTCTACAGTTTCTATGGTAACAACAACTAAAGTAAATAATCTGTTGCGATTCTATGGTTGCTGTGGTAACACAAGAGCTACATTAATTAATCTGTTGTGGCAAATCTATAGTTGCTATGGTAACATGACAACTATAGTAACTGATATGTTGCAGTGATTCTACAGTTGCTATGGTAACATAAGAAGAACTACAGTAATCTGTCATGGTGATTTTACGGTTGCTATGGTAACACAACAACTACAGTAATTAATATGCCCTGGTGATTTTACGGTTGCTATGGTAACACAACAACTACAGTAATTAATATGATGTTGTGATTCTACAGTTGCTATGGTAACACAACAACTACAGTAATTAGTCTGCTGTGGAGATTCTCGAGTTGCTATGGTAACACAACAATTACTGTAATTAATTTGATGTGATTCTACAGTCGCTATGGTAACAACAACTAAAGTAAATAATCTATTGTGGTGATTCTACAGTTGCTATGGTAACACAACAACTACAGTAATTAATCTGTTGTGGTGATTCTACAGTCGCTATGGTAACACAACCGCTACAGTAATTAATCTGTTGTGGTGATTCTACAGTTGCTATGGTAACACAAAAGCTACAGTAATTAATCTGTTGTGGTGATTCTACAGTTGCTATGGTAACACAAGAAGAACTACAGTAATGAATCTATTGTGGTGATTCCAAAGTTGCTATGGTAACAAGAACTCCAGTAATATAAACCACTGTAGTTTTCTACAATTATACAGTATATTATACTACAATACACCACAGTTTACTGCAGGAAATACTA